CATCTCACTGCACACAAACGAACTCACTCGGGGGAGCGACCGTTTCGCTGTGAGGAGTGCGGCGCAGCTTTTACTGTATCTTGTAATCTCACTGCCCACAAACGGACTCACTCGGGGGAGCGACCCTATCGCTGTGAGGAGTGCGGCGCAGCGTTCACTCGGTCTAGTGATCTCACTACACACAAACGGACTCACTCGGGGGAGCGACCCTATCGCTGTGAGGAGTGCGGCGCAGCGTTCACATGCTCTAGTGATCTCATTAAACACAAACGGACTCACTCGGGGGAGCGACCCTATCGCTGTGAGGAGTGCGGCGAAGCGTTCACTACTTCTAGCAATCTCACTAGACACAAGGGGCACCACTTGGGAAATAAATTAATATGTAATGATGTGAGCAAGAGTGGTATCAATGTACCTAATGAAGTAAAACACAAACGGATCCATTTGGAAGAGTGACTTATTATTTTGAACTATTATGGAAATATCCTTGTGGGTATGCAAGAAAGATAATGCTTACACTCATACAAACCGCATTTAATAATTGCTTGAGGAGCTGACATCCGGTTTTCTTTATTCAATAAATTAATATTTTATAAATTGTTCGGCTGAAAAGGTTTAATGTAGTTATTGTGAATGATGTTCACGTTACAGAAATTTTATATCCCAACACTGTTTTCCTATTTAATAGCACGTGTTTGGTCTGAAACTAAAATATTTTAGATTGAGATAATTCATGAATATGTTGCATAAGTAGTAAATTTAACATAATTTTTTCTTAATATGAGGTAACTATATTTTTTGAAAAATAAACGGTAATAACAAACTTCTACCTCCTTTCATAATTTTGTTACCTCTGGTGTAATAATATTTCTTCTCGTCCCATACCGGTCTGGCGTATCTCCGTCGAAACTAATTTTCAAATTACTCAAAACTTAATTACGCTATCTAAATGAATCAAAGTGCATTGAATTGTACGGGCTTTTAGAAAATATAAATGAACTTTGGCTTATTTCCTTACCGTTTTCGAGATACATGTGAAAAAGAAAATAATGCGCACTTAAATTCGTGGGAAAGGCGATGAGAGTAGCTTTTACATTAATGTACGCAGTAAGTTTTTATAAAAACTTCAGCTGTAATATCTACATTATTATGTACATTGTAACATAGTATAGATTCCTTGTCAGATTTCTTCATGTGTGTTTGGAAGCAAGTCCCTTCAAAGGTCGGCGGGTGGGGGCCCGGCAGCTGAATTACGGACACTTAGTAAAGTAACCAGCAGCTTAGCACTGCCAACGCACTGCATTCACCTGCACTTACAATTAAAGTTCCGCCGAGAAACTGGGGCCTGGTTGGGCGTTTCCAATCTCCACCAAGACTCCTCCTTTCTTTAACTTCTGCGGTCAATGGTTCCTCTCACGCTCGCTTACGGTTTCTGTTCTGTTTCAAAGAGCAAACTCCGGGGTGGGCATCTTGGCTTTTTCGGCTTTTATTCGCACCCCGGTCAAGCGGCGCAGTGCCACCTTCAGGCTGAGAGCCGGATTACTCCTGCACACAGTTCTTACGAACCTTCCCACTTGAGCCTGGATGGGGCCACTCTGCAATCTTCGGGCTACTAGGCATCCAGATTGTAAGTGCCACTCGCGTGCAGCAAGAGGAAAATTCCTACCCAATTCCCGTGGGTATTGAGCACTGCCACGACGAAGCTAAGAGCTCAGCAGGAGGCCTCCCGAACTAAGGTTCGACGGAGAGCGTAGGCTCCCGGGGTCGGAGTCAGTAGCTGCTTGGCTGCCCGGGAAGAGCTTCATCCTAGGCAAGATGCAGACCTTTCTCAGGCGAAATGCCCTCAGATATTTCTACCCGCATGTTTGCCAACAGTCCTCATCCAAAACGTGATTTACGAAACGTAGGTTATAAATACTGACAAAGAAATCTTATGCGATTTGTAGTAGTTCTTTGAAGCTAGCTTTTTCAGGTGTATTTTCTGTACTGTGTTTGTGTTGAGTTTTTCTTGAAACTGCGTTGGAGCGTAGCATGTACTTCCACAAAGAAAAATCATAGTTTCAAAAATGTAACGCGATAAGAATCCGACAACTTTCGTGTGAAAAGATGCGACATGGCGAGCACATAGTTTGCAGAAGTGGATGAGTTACATGACGCAGGAAACTGTACCTGAAAACTTCCAATGTCCTAAGAAAGGTTTTAAAAACTATTTAGTTCTCAAGTACGCTATATAACGGAACATTGACCTCTAATGAAACAATTAGGTTTATTGGCCACGCTCCAACGTACTTTTGTGTACCTACTATTGTTTTCTTTATTATTGTTAGAGCAATTAGCCATTATTAACGAATGTCCAGTAGGTACTAATGTACGTACATAGTAATAAGGAATAAATCAATATATAGTACGACGTCGATTAGATACGCTAATTGGTCGACCATGATTAATCCGTAAAACTGTTCGCATCCCCATGCACACTGAGCAGAAGACGCCACTGCCTACTACTAGTCGCGCGACTTCTCTTGACGTCTCGCAGCGCGGGATAAGGGGAGATGAGGCTACTTCATATGTTAGATCAGACTGTCAACTGTAATTATTATTAACACTATTCGCGCCTCTTTCGCTCTTAATACAACATGATAGTGTAATAATAAACAATAAAACAGACCAAAATCCGAATCGTAAAGCCTAGAAGAAAGCAAAATATCGTCGTATAAAATACTCGTAGCAAATTAATCACAGTGCACAGCGAAAACGCGAGAACTGAATCCATTCGAAAGTAGCGGTAGGGAGCCCTGATAACCTTGCCATGCCGTTCCGTGTGAGACCAAGGTTTTGACCAAACCGTGCTGGGATGAGCACTAGTGAGCTCAGACGTCATGAAAGTAGCGCGACTAGTACCTCGGTCCGCGCCCACTACGGCTCGTTGCGCCGAAGCGCTTCCGCACCGGCAGTAGCTGAGGTTCCGGACGCATCGCGCCCGCCACCGCGGTCGGGGCCGTCCATAGGTCGCATGATACTCGTCTGTGCCCAATGCCGTCGAAGCGGTCCTACACCCAGTGGTTATGAGCCTAATGCATTGAGCGTCCTAGCGTGCGGCAGTTAGTGTGTCCCAACGTGCACTCGTGTGCTGGTGCCGTTCCAGCTTTGTCCTATCAGCCGTTGGTTAGTGGTGTGGGCCTCATCCTACCCTCTGCTGGTTAGCTGTCGGCAACGGGTATGCGGGAGGCTCGGGGGCGCGCGGTCGCCTCGATTCCTTCTCCAGGCTCACCCCCGCTTCGACACCGCCCAGCGTTGGTCCGAGGACCTCCAGACATGTGACTACCCTGCGAGCGGACAAGCTCTACGACTCGGGTTCGCCGGAAGACTGAGTCGGATGCTTATGTTCAATTAGCTCAAGGAGGCAATGCCCCCCCTTTCTTTGCGATTGCCAAACCTAGGTTCGGCTAGACATGTTACCGTGAAGGCCCTGACAACGCGGCTCTGTCGATGATTAGTGATTCCGGGCGCGTCAACTACTGGTCATTAGTCCTGTAAGTGTAGGGCATGCTTTTGCTCGGGAGGTGGGAGTTGTCTTCCCCTGCTGTAGGTCGAGCACCGGGTTTTCCTCAACCAGGTACCTCAACAGCGGGGCCCACCGCAACCGGGACAAGCCTCCCGTCCGGTCTTCCAGCATGTGAGTGTATGTGTAAAGGGTGAGAATAGGATTAGGAAAGAATGATTGCGCGTGGTCTGTGGGCTGTTTGTTAGGGTGCTGCTCCGGCATTCGTCTATTGTTGATCGGAGAAACCACGAAAACCTGCCCATCAGCGCGGCTCCATCAAGAACGGGGTTAGAGCGGGTGGGCAACTTCCACCGAGGTTACCAGTCCTCTCCTGCTCTTTTCGGGGAGGCGTACAGTGGGCCCCTCTGCTCCTGTTCTATCTGGCTATGCCAGCCGAATCATCCAGGCAGATGTGTGAACCTTGAGCCCTCTCAGCGTATGACATGCATGTGATCTGCCTAGCCGTGCCTTACCCCTAACGATGTGGCTGCGCCGTGACGTCGGTTAGGGTAGATCAGGTCCACGACGTAGCGTCTTGCACGACCCAGACGAACCCCGAGAACGATTCTGTCTACTTGCCGGCGCTGAGACCAACCGACGGGGAGCTCAAGAGTCGCCGATCGGGGTCCTTCCGGCGGAGTCGCGCCGGAACTGGGGTCGGGCAGAACAAACAGACTGATAATCTCACGTTCTCGTAGGGATTTTATATGTGGGAGCAGCTGCTCCTAACCCTGTCTCATGCTTCGCGCCGCCCACTCAATGTACCCCTGGTGTTCTCGACCTGAGTCGGGCCGCGAAACTCAGGGTCCGGGTGGACGTCTCGACTCTACCTAAAACTGCGAATGCATACGCTGACCCGATGCTCCCAGCCGGGAGAAGACGTTTTGCTATCAATCTATTTTTCAGTTCTCCAATCTTTCCATTTCTGTCTCCAATATTGTAGAAAGTAGTTTTCGAATTTCTTTCTTCAATATAGTAGAAAACGCCGAGAAAAATTAATTTTTTCCAATTTTCGAAAATTCAGAATTTTTTCCAGAAATCATTTCTGAGAAAATTTTGAATATTTTCTTCAGGCTTCGTGTAAAGTATCCCCGAAAATAAAAATATCAGTATTAGAGAAAATCGGTAGAACTGTATACGTGGTAGCGTTGACCACAGACACGTTTTGCCGTCAATAGATTTTTCGATGTCAGTTACCCACAAAATACGGATTCTGATTAAGCAATTGAAAGACAATCTAATCTAAGATTCCAATGAAAATATTTAAAAACTGATCTATCGTGTACTCTAGAAGCTAATTAAATAGGCACTAGATTGTTGCTCATGCGTCATCCACAACACGGCGGCTTCTAAGAAATGTTCACATCTGTTCGTCCTTCCTTCACGTAGTACTTGTTCTCAAAGATGTTACATGTAGTCACCAGCCCCAATTAATTCTGTCTTTTATTATCATAAATGTTAAAACAGCGCACAAATAAAATTAATACCAATTGTTTTTCGGTGATATAATGAATTTGTATTGCTTGCAAATGGGTGGGAGTTTCAAACGTTACGTAATTATTTTGGGGGAGCTCAGGCGAGCATTACTGTGGGGGAGGGGCTATTGAAAATACTCCAAATTTGCGTTTCGTAATTAATGGACGGCCCCTAAGTGGTTGATTTGATTGGTGTTTCCGAGCGTCAACTGCTGTGGCCGTACGTGTTAGGCTGGCTTCCTTCCCCTGCCGGAAAGTGAGATCCGGCCTCGACCTTAACAGCGGGACCGGTTTCCCTCTCCAGGCATTTCCCCTCAGTGGGACACCGCCTCAGCCAGGTCAAGCTCCATTACACGAGCGTTGCCTGAAATAACACTATCACAACGGCTTTGGCCGTTCCGCCTTAGAGTGACTACAGTGTTAATCAGGGCCGG